AACTACCGTACACACAACTCTACATTACCCATCGCAATATCAACAAAGCTCCAATCAACCTACCTTGCTCGAGACAAGGAGGCTAACCAGCCTGTTAAAGGATTCATTCTCAACACAAGGACCCGCTGCCATACAATATCGGAATAATGAACAGCACAACTACGGTACATACCACTCCAGATTACCCAAAACAATATCAACTGCACTACTATCAAGACAAGATTCACCCGACACAATCACATAGGTCCCCTCAACGCAAGCAGCCATCTACTACGACGATCTTCTCCCATCCAACATCACAACATTCAACAAGACAACTACCGTACACACAACTCTACATTACCCATCGCAATATCAACAAAGCTCCAATCAACCTACCTTGCTCGAGACAAGGAGGCTAACCAGCCTGTTAAAGGATTCAATCTCAACACAAGGACCTTCTGCCATCCAACATCGCAATATTGAACAGCACAACTACGGTACATATCACTCCAAATTACGGAAGACAACTACGGTACACACAACTCCAGATTACACAAAACAACTACCGTACACACAACTCCCGATTACCAAGACAATATCAAGAAAGCTCCAATCAACCTACCTTGCTCGAGACAAGGAGGTTAACCAGCCTGTTCAAGGATTCAATCTCAACACAAGGACCGNAACACAAGGACCTTCTGCCATCCAACATCGCAATATTGAACAGCACAACTACGGTACATATCACTCCAAATTACGGAAGACAACTACGGTACACACAACTCCAGATTACACAAAACAACTACCGTACACACAACTCCCGATTACCAAGACAATATCAAGAAAGCTCCAATCAACCTACCTTGCTCGAGACAAGGAGGTTAACCAGCCTGTTCAAGGATTCAATCTCAACACAAGGACCTTCTGCCATACAATATCGGAATAATGAACAGCACAACTACGGTACATATCACTCCAGATTACGGAAGACAACTACCCTACACACAACTCCAGATTACACAATACAACTACCGTACACACAGCTGTAGATTACCCAAGACAACTACGGTACACACAACTACGGTACACACAACTCCAGATTACCCAAGACAACTACGGTACACACAACTCTCGATTACCCATCGCAATATCAACAAAGCTCCAATCAACCTACCTTGCTCGAGACAAGGAGGTTAACCAGCATGTTGTAGGATTCAATCTCAATACAAAGAGCTTCTGGCATCCAAAATCACAATGTTCAACAAGACAACTACCGTAAACACAACGCCAGATTACATAATGCACTCTCAACTCCAGTACTATCAAGACAAGATACACACGACGCAATCACATAGGTGAGCTCAACGCAACTAGCCTTCTTCTACGACGATCGTCTCCCATTCAACAAGACAACTACCGTATACATATGTCCAGATTACCCAACACGATATCAACAAAGCTCCGACCAACCTACCCTGCTCGAGACAAGGAGCTTAACCAGTCTGTTGTAGGATTCAATATCGAAAGAAGGACCTTCTGCGATCCAACAGCGGAATGTTCAGTAGCTGAAGTGAAGTGTGCAGTGTTTCATGCTGTCGAGCACGTGATGAACGCATCTACTATGAAAATGCTATTTTCAAGACACAATGACTTGGTATATACTCTGTAGGTGCTATTCCCAAGGCTTAATGACTGGCTCTATACTATGAAGATGTGATTCTCAAGCCACAATGACTGCCTCTATGCTATGAAGATGCTATTCTGAGGAGACAATGACTAGCTTGATACTACGAAGATGCTCTTCTGAAGCCAGAATGACTGAGTCTATACTACGAAGATGCTATTCTCGAAACACAATGACTGGCGCTATACGACGAAGATGCTATTCTTGAAACACAATGACTGGCTCTATACTACGAAGATGCTATTCTCGAAACACGATGACTGGCTCTATACTACGAAGATGCTATTCTCGAAACACAATGACTGGCTCTATACTATTAGAACTTATCCTCTGATTTTTGACGCAGCAAGAACTCAAGACGAATTCGTTGTCGATTGACGAAATCAGGCTGCGTAGGCGCTGGTTTCGCGAGAATTTCGGACCTATACCAGTAGGATTGCTCACAATGTACCAATTCTATGTATATTGGATTCGTTCCTATCGACATCTTGATATTCATGGCAGGAATTCTTAATTTCCATTGTGGAGGGATTATGTGTCGGAGCCGAAAAATCCGAATAACCTGAATTCATCTTTTGTTCTGAAGGACTGTGTAATTCGGTTAACATGCAACTCGTATCCGAAGATAGGATGCCTGTGTTCCCGTTTTCGGAAGCTAATAGTTGTCTTAAATTAATGTACTAGTGATTTTATGACATGAAGACAATGGTATTCATGTCACTAGTGCATTATAGACTAGATGATTACGTATGTTGCAATAAGCAACCAAGTTATTCATTTTTCGGCGCTGCATACCTCTCACACATATAGGAACTCAATTTCAACCAATCATTTATCGGCTTCATACAGTTGTATGAGATGCATCATGGCTGCATTCCATGAGCAGCTTACACCAAATTAGCTCTGTAATTACATAGTCACATGTGTTTAGATACATCGTTTACCAGCTTTTAACTTACAGTTGCCGAATAGCAATCAAGTCTGCACTGTCTTTGTGGCAGTTCTGCCCATGCTTTCCGACATTAACACGAACCAGTTTATGACGTTGCTCTAGCTTCGAAAGCATGAACAGAATACATGCAGCTGTAGGAGCGCCCATACTCTTATACAGATTTGCAAATCATATAATGCGTAGCTCACATATGACAACCACGGATTGAATATATCACTCCCTAACTGAGGTTATACCAACTATCCATGAGACACCGCCTATATATCAGCTTCCTATTCCCATATAATAAGCTACCATCGGTCCACAAGGCATGTCCCCATTCAAAAACCATCTATGTTACTGATCACAGGCAAGCATCGACCAAGGAACAACGGACACCAGTCATTAATAGTCAAAAACAGATGCAACCACCAATATCAATTAATACATCTGAAGCAACCGATCGTCACTTGTATGCTACTATAACACATCACAAAACAGCAACCAACTAACATACATGATAGTCAACCCTACTACCATACAGTCAGCATCGAGAAACTAGACCATTCTTGGGTCAACCGAATCTGTACGAAAAATGTTATATCGGACTCCCATACGCGAAGCTTTTTTCATATATAAAGAGAAATGAGAAAATCTATTTGCTGAGTAAACGTTAACCAACCAGCTATATTCGTTCCAATCCGAAAATTCTTCATACAATGTTATAACTTATGTTACCACATTAGCTGGTTATTTTTTTATTCATGTAATGCATTACTAACACGAGTGTGAATCGATACAATGTTATAACTTATGTTACCACATTAGCTGGTTGGTTAACGTTT